TCTGCTCCGCCGCCTCGTACTTTCCCTGATCGCTTAGTACGGTAGCGAGGTTATTCATACTCGTTAGCGTATCTGGATGCTCCTTCCCTAGCACCCTCTCCATCACTTCCATCACCTCTCGATACATCTGCTCTGCTACCTCGTACTTTCCCTGATAGCTTAGTACTAAAGCGAGGTTATTCATGCTCGTTAGCGTATCTGGATACTCCTTCCCTAGCACCCTCTCCATCACTTCCACCGCCTCTCGATGTATCTGCTCTGCCACCTCGTACTTTCCCTGATGGCTTAGTACTAAGGCGAGGTTATTTATGCTCGTTAGCGTCGATAGATGCTCCTTCCCTAGCACCCTCTCCATCACTTCCATCACCTCTCGATACATCTGCTCCGCCGCCTCGTACTTTCCCTGATGGCTCAGTACGGTGGCGAGGTTATTCATGCTCGTTAGCGTATCTAGATGCTCCTTCCCTAGCACCCTCATTTTTGTCATAATGACTGTACGATGTAAATTGAGACTAGCATCGAAATGTCCCTGGTCTCGATAGAATGAAGCAAACCAATCCGCGTTATTACAGCTCGTAATATCCTGACCCAGTCGAGTACCATCTTCAAGGAAGTCTCTCACTGTCAAGAGAGTGGCATCCATGTGCAGAAGAATCGACCGCTTGATCGTGGCATCGCTAACCCGGTTTTGATAAGTTCGAATAGAACTAACAACCACATCGACACCCTCGCGAGTATACGTCTGCCGCTCTTTCGAGCGTAATCGTAATTGCAGCCAGTCGCGAATCAGCGGATGCAGCACAAAGCTGGCCCCTTCGGACGGTGTCGATGGTAAGATATCTTGTAAGAGCGACATCTGGTGCGCCTGCCGGAGGAGACGCCAAAATTTTTCAGCGTCCCACATCTTCTTCAAACCTTCTGGGGCCGTGTCGTGAGACTTCGCGGGCTGGTCACGTATTACTTGCTCTTGGCGGTCAACTTCTTCCTCGGTGTCGCTGGACGAGCTGTCATCGTCTGAGCGACAGGAAGGCGTAAAAATGTCGCACCAGTCCGGTGTAGGGTCCTCCAGCTCTCGGTGGAACTTAAACAGAAACTCATTGACTCGAGCAGGACCCAGGAACGCCGCAAGGGTGAGAAAGTGCTCCACGGCCTGGGGCGGATCCCAGTCCGAGAGGAGTTGTTGGAATGACATTTCCCACGTGGTGAATGCATTGATGGCTTTCCCCCGCCCGTTCTCATCGTCAATCTTCATGTATCGCCAAAAATGTTCAGCCGTATACTGAAGCACCTTCTTCCGCTCCGCCTCAAAGCGCGCCAAGAAATCACGCAACCGGGAGACCGGTAGCTGCTGATACGACATATAGGCGGATGCTTGGTCGATGGCCAAGGCTAGACCCCCCAGCCGTCTCACGATGGTAGAGCCTTCAGACAGGTATTGGTTCACATTGATGCCGATATATCGATGCAGAAGCAACTCGACACCGGCCTTGTCCGGCATAGGTGGGATATCGATGATACGCCCTAACTCTCCCAGACCCCGATGACGACTGGTGAAGAGAACATCCCCTTGGGCACCTGTTGAAGTTAGCATCTATATAAGTGACCTCCCCAGACGACATACCTCGAGGGATAAACTGCTCGATATCCGAGAAAGTGGCCGGATCATCATAATTGTCAAACACCATGAGCCAACGCTCGTCCCACTGTTCGAGTGTACGGAGAGCAAAAGCGATCTTCGCATCGTCGTCACCCAATGCTTCCGTTGCTGCTATATTGATTTCGCGTCCAATGCTGACAATAGCTTGTGTCAGGGTAGATTTAGAGCTGCTGTTGATCCAGAAGATCCCACGATATTGTTTTCGCTGCTGTTGACAGTATTCAAGAGCAATTTGGCTCTTGCCCTGTCCTCCCATTGCGTGGAGCACTAAGACTCGAGGTCTATCGATCCGTTCGTGAAAGTACGCTCGAATTTGGCGAAGCTCCTCTTGACGACCGATGAAATCTTTCACTCGCTGCACTGGAATGACAAAATACGTTTTGGCGTTGATCTCGTTAACTTGGAGAATGGTCAGCCCTTGTCGGTTGTGATACCTGTGAACAGAATTTCAAGCTAACCTGGACTAGACGATCTCTCCCGCGGAGCCCACTCCATCAAAAAAGCTTTCATACATGACGCTGCCGTGGCCGCGGCATACCTTTGCCAGCCCTTCCTCTTGTGACTGTCAGCGTAGTCACACACTCCTTTAATGACGATGCTCGGGAAATAGTCCCAAACACCAGCGCCTTCCATCTCGAACGCAATGATTCCGTCGACCTTGGCCACTTGATCGCGATGCCGTCCCGATTTCATCACGGTATTCCCGGAACCCGTGACACCAAAATGGACAATAGGTTCCGTCATTGTATTGCCCAAGCGATGGCGTGTAACTCGCATAACAGTCCCACAGCCGAGATCTTCGCAGTTTGACTGAAGAGCGGTCACACATATTTGGTCCTCTTCACCACACTCGCATCCTTCTGGTGGATGGTGCTGATGCACGTAGGAGGAGTGATAGAGTATATCATTCTCCCGAGCAGGAGCCTTCGTCTTCGGCAGCTTCTTCTCCAAATCCTCGAGGAATGTGGCGATATCCTTTTGCATTCTTTGCCGATAGCGACTCGTCCCCAGTTTGGCCTGGATGGCTCGGATCTCTGGACTGGGTCGGCCAAGAGTGTCTTGCACACCGGTCTTCCTCCTGAATCCCTCCGGGTATTGCCTTCCAAAGTCATATTGTACGAGAGCTTGGCTGATGATCACATCGCCGAGCAAAATCTCGTTTCCATCGGCATCATAGGGCATGCCTCCGCAGATTCCAACCACCAGAGCGAGTTTAATGTTGGAGAAGCTCACTCGCATGGCTCCTGCGACGGCCGCGGCGCTGGTGGTTCCCATCCCGGGCATGTAGGCAAGCACCACGTTGTGGTCGCCTATCACCCCAGGGGTGTACACGTTGGGATCCCCCGCCGCTTTCCTATATCTCTTGCCTTCATCTTCCCAGAACTTATCAAATACCTCTTGTACGCATTCTGCTTCCAGGGGGAGTGCGCATATCACGGCAATCTCAAAGCCGCGGCGGTCGTGGGGAGCGGGAACGGATCCCATGTGGCTCGTCAGAAGGCAGGATACACGGTTGTACAGTCGAGAGGGGAATAGTAAGTTTGCACGCTCCTTGATGGTATCGGAACGGTGGCATAACAGGATTCGACAACGGGGTTCATGTTCGGCAAGTTGTGATAGTTGACAGGGTGGTGCGGCTGAGATCAGGCTGGGGTCAGGCGATCAGGCAGCAAACATCTAGACACTGACCGCCACGTGGCGGTCCAGCCTGATTGAGACTGTTATAACACAAAACCACTCGTCACCTTGTGATTGGTGCGATATTCTGGAGGCAAAGGCGAGAGCATCAGTGCAACAAGGTCAATGTCGTTTGTAGATTGCGCAGCAAGCACAGGCGGGGAGAAGTGTCGAAAACGGAGCGAGAATTCCCCAGCAACATGTGACCAGAAGCACCGTAGCCTCATAAGAGACAGCCCCAAAGCATGTGACCATCCGAGGCAACGGTAAGTTAGGTGGTGTTCTAACCAAACTCAGCAGGTTCTTCTAATGACTGAATCGAGGGCGTAATGAAAGTCATGAATCTTACGCGGATGTATCAAATTCTATCCGATTGGTGCACATACTTGGTGTGCGTCTTAACCGTGATAAGTTAGGCGTAGGCAATTGTGGACCAGGTCCACCTATTCTACAATAATTCTGCTTCCATCCAGGTGACGCCAATTGTGCACATCACTGTAATCCCACACTCCTGACTCCCAGTTTGTATAGTCATTTCTGAGGAAGTTCTCGCCGGGCCGTTCGTATCGAGGCAGGCTCGACCGTGACAGGTGTGGTTAAATTTAACTTACAAAATGAAATACCATGTTAGTGCAATACTGCAGAGGATCAAATGTGTTGGGTGGAGTTGTACGTATTCGTTATTGGATGTCAAAGTGTGAATAATTGCTTGAAGAGCTGCTTCAGTGGATGAACCGTACAAGATGACATGTCCTGTCCTGTCCTGTCCTGCAGGGAGCGGACCCGGCCTTTACGGAGTTTCACTATTTGCTTTTTTGAGCTCTTCCTATTCTACCTTTTTTCCATTCTCGCTCCATAAACTCAGTCGCATCTTCTGATTCAATATCAGACTCAAAGAGATATTCATCGTTGAACTTTTCATCTTCTCCCGGGATGAATCTGATAATTTTTAGCACTATTCGTTCTCATTTCATGAGATGGGAGGCACTTACACGGGCGACTGCGTCCTGTTTTGATTTATTACCTCCGAGATAGAGATATAAGTTTTCGCCGAACCTGCCACTGGCTCAGTGACAAGTGTTTCAGACCCTGGAGAGCTGTTGGGTGGTCCTTCTCCATTAACCTGAGGTGCTTGTGGATGCTGCCGTGGAAGTTTTGGCACGAAGACCGTTCGCGAATCGTCGCTTATTTGATACCTGTTCCAATATTCGGCTTCTGCTTCTGCGGGGACCGCGGCTGGCTCTAGCCAAATAGGTCGTGGCTTCACGAGATATTCAGTTTCGCCGCCGTCTTGACGGTGCGCTAAAATACATTCGTATTCCCATGATTCAAAGCTCGGCTTTTCTTGGTGCGCGTTTGATGAGTTATCGAGATTTTGCTCTTTAGGCGTGGTGTAGCCGGTAGGATGTGGATGGAAATGGGCCATTAGGCACTCTGCGGCAGCTCTTTCGAGTTGAGTAGTCATGCTTGAGGTAACTTTGTCAAGGGACTGATTTCTTCTCTGTCAATGCAAGATAAATAGAAGATATAGATCTTGATGAGCCATGTCTCTGCGCAATCCACATGTTTTCATGGAGGGTGTCAGCTAATGTTTTTCCTGCTTGGTGGGTCTTTGCGAGCCACCATAACTCGAGGCTAGCGGGCACTTACTTCGGATTTCATAAATACACGGAAAGAGAAAACAACCGAAAATGGAGATGAAAACTTGTGCACACAGTCCACAGAAAGTGCAGGTCGCTCGACTTTTTCGGAGGCTTTCCGCGAACTTTTGCCTTTGGTACATGGAGTTTGGGCACAGTTTCACTCAGAGTGTATGAACTCAGGTGGCCTTTGGCGTAAGTCGATTCGGCACTATTAAACCACCGAGTTTGTGAGGTATGTTAATACTTAAGAGGGATTTCCCGTTCCCTCATTTAACGCCTCCTTTCCTGAAGGTAACATAGCATTGGATATTGAACTTCCAGCAACAGAGTATGGATAATCGATATCCCCCCAAAGGCAGAGTGCACTTCATTAAGACAATTACCGGGAGACGCGAAGCGTACGACGACGAATACTCTGTCATGCGAGAGATTTCAAATCACCTATGTTCATGCCGACGGTGTGTGGTTCCCCGGGACCAGCGACACGAAGTACTCTTATGTCGAATCGGCTATCTTCTCTCGAAGGACGTTAGGACGTATCTGCGACTCGATCATGGAAGAGTTGTCTCCACGATACCATCTAGGTCGGCAGGGAACGACATCGAGATCGATATTCCACCCAGATTTGCTGTCATCCGACGGCTGCTGTCGCAGGGCAGGGGAGCAGGCGCTGCCCCATCCAGGTCACCTCAGCCACCGCTGGAACAACAGCAGCGGTCAAAAAGTAGACCACTTGACCTACATCCTAAAAAAGCATCAAGGAAACAGCAACCTCCTACATCGTCGGTAAATGACCAAAATTTTGTTTTGTTCACCGCTGCAGTGCCATCTTTCACTGTTCCTCTCCTCATCCGTCGCTCGGATCTCGAAAGTTTGATTGGCGACGCTAGGGCCATGACCATCGGGGGAAAAGCTTGACTTGCCTACCTACCTGCATGTATCTAGCCACAAACTAAATTTTTTTTGAACCCCCCTCTCTGGACAGAGATCGAGACGATCCGTGTCCGCCGAATCTCTTGCCACGGCTTGTAGTGGCAGATCGGTTAAGAGCGTGCCGGTACACTATGAAGCCTTTATGGTGCTCTGCTTGCTCGAAGAATGATAAGGCATGGTGGCCAGCACGTGAAAAGATACCATTCCAGGGTTCAAAATCCCGGTTGAGACAGATGTGAAACCATCACCACATAGACGACGGACGACATCGGGAGTGCTTTAGGCAAGAGTTCATAGCCTCGGCCAATAAGGCCAAGGGATCTATTAACCGGAGTGGTGCATTGAAAGAATGACCGCAGTCGTCCATGTGATACTGATAAAAGTACATTCTAAGCTTTGTGGTGCACATTCCGGGACCTAGACTGGATGACATGCACACGTCATGACCCCCTCTGGTCGCCCTTCTCGACTTGATACACCCTCATGGTGTTTGACATTTAGCACGTCACTGACTTCGGTTACAAGAATGGAGGATGTGCCATATCCTGACGAGGCAACCGAGGAGGTAAAGGCAAGCGCACGGAGCAATTCCCCAGAGGATGCAAAGTCGTGCCTCAAACCTTTGTACTGAAATATGTCTCCACAGTACAACTGCCCCGATAGTTGTCAACGTTTCGTAGAAGTGAAGATGGACTGGAAGCGCCAGGAGAATGGCTGCAATACTTCCTCCCAGGGCCTGTTAATCCGTCAATTGAAGTCCACTTTCACGTCAGACTGTACATTTAACACACCATGTCACCACAAACCTCCAGATTTCCCCAATCTCTGCCAATCCGCAGGAGATGGAGAACCGAATGAACAATCGCTTGCAGAAGGGTCATGCAGCCTATCCATCGACGTACGCCTGACCCGGTCTGCAAAGGTAAACCGACGAGCTCCGCGGCCTCGGTGATGCTTTCCCATATCAGGAGCGGAGCCAAGTTTATCGCTGCGAGTGTCCCACTTCGTACCGCAATCTCGAAATAATCTCGAACGCATAGAAACATGCATACCGTGTTCACTCCGACGTACACCACCAAACGTACGGCCTCAAATGGGCCCACGATCGAATGATAGATACTCATAAGAATCGGCGGGGCCAATTGCCTTTCATGTGCGATCCACCACTCCGTCCACAGCGTCGAGAGAGCAAAGTAGGGCCTTCGGAATACTAGCAAGGTCATACGACTAACCGAGACAACCACACCGTATCAGTGAGACGCACTGATACCACCCATCATGGAGTTGTTAGTGTTGATCCGGAGATAGGTTCCATGCATCATCTGTGATCGTAATGAAAGGGTCCCGCCCCTTTTGGCTAGAGTGTCTAGAAAAATCGCCCGGGATCGGCATACGGTCGTCAAAGGACTTCGAGGCGACACGCGGAGACACACCACGGAATGTCGTGGCATAAGTGTGTCGCGTCTCGTCACAACCCACGAATTTCCATGGGACTTTGCCAACAAGGCGGAGACACGCGACCTTTTATACTTTAGAGAAATGGACTGACAGAAGGCATAGATTGGGAACACTAGACTTGAATCTTATCAGAGCCTACCATAGGTTTCACCGTTTACATCTCTTCCTCTCACCGAAAGCATGGCAAAGTACGGAAGACGTTCAACGAGACTCTCGGTCCTGATTGCGAAGCGCAGCCAGGGAGCCAAGAGTCGTCCTCTCAACAGACGAGAGAAGGAGTCGAAGGCGAGATATAAGCAACTGAGACGTCGGCGTCCGGTACGTGACCAAAAAGGCCAAGGCATTGAACACGCGGCGTCAGATGAAAGCTTTCCTCCAAGTGACAGATCGGGCGGAACAACGTAAGATTTCGGATAAGCGGTTTTTCTCAAAGGAGAAATTTGTGAGAACGCAAAAGGGGTTCACAAATTGCCTAATTCATTTGTATCCCGCAGCGCCAGGATCTCGCGTCCACTCACCCTTGAAAGTGGGCCCGGAAAACAGCGGCCACTGAGGAGGTGCTAGAGGCAGATGCCCTGCCCGAAAGAATTGCTACCCCTACAAGCCTCGCCTCAGGCACGCAAAATACCTATCACATGTCAATAGTCAGGTCGGAGAGCCTCAGGTTTTTGCTATGGGAAGGCATCAGATCGGCGCTCACATGATATGAAGATCCAGATAATGAGGTCCTGTAGGGACATCCGTCATATGATAATAGTGAGAGAAGTTAAAGATTCCGTGTTTACTCTATCAGTAGCTGAATAAGACTTCATACACTTGGATATTGTATTTTTAGGATTCTATCATCAGCAAGCCCCTTTGATACGTAACTATGGCAAATAGCTATATAACCTTAGGCCCCTGCCGCTCCGGCTTTCTGACATAGAGTCCTCGTCGTCTATTCACGTCCCTGTCCTGGTTTAGACCCAATAGCCACATGCAACGATAAAGAAACACACTGTTTCCACCCAAAAGAGATCAGGCCTCAACGTTACTCCGCCTGACGTATTCCCATATGGCGAATAGTAGGTGCGTGATTGTAGTGACGGGGTATACCACGGAAGTGTGCCATTTAGCCAGGTCAATGATGTGGCTGTACCTGTGCCAGCTGCTCCTGTTCCGAGGCTCGCGCCGCTTGCACCAGCAGTTTGCAACGGCGCTGTGCCTGTGCTGAGCAGAGACCATGGAGTTGCCGACTTCTGACCACATGTAGGTGTAGGAGGGAATGGATATGCAGGGCTCGTGCTCGCCGTCGTCGTCAAAATTTCCGTCCCTGTGCTGGTTCCAACCGCCGTAATTGTCGCATCCGTTTCCTGCCTGGTACTCTCCTGACTGCTGGTGCTTATGTGTGGATCGGTCGTCTGGATTCCGGGTGACCCAGAAGCTGATCCCATTGTGCTCGTAGCATCACTTGTGCTGTAATGGCCCCATACCACCCAAATGCTCCCCAGTGAGGCAGATCCAGACGGGGGTAACGATTGAGCAGCACTTGGCCATATTAGCGACGATTGCGGAGGGTCCAATAGTACTTACACTGACTGTCCTAGCATAGACAGAACTACCCATCCCAATGGGATCATTGTCAACACACGTTCCAGTCCCCAAAAAAAACCTGAATTGTTTCACATAAACGTGCATTGGCAGATTAAAAACACGAGTCTCCCGGTTAATCCTCAGAAAACCGTGGTGACGCCCGACATAGCAACGGTACCGCGTGGCTGTCTTGCCCCAATCCAGTGCTGACTGACTATATAGTCTTTTCACCCGTTGGTCAAGGTTGTGGAGCTTCCTGATGTCGACGTGCCACACTGCTTACCTCCCAAGATCAAATGTCGTCTCAGGGAACGGACGCCGTCGACTCTGGGACTAAGAGGATCAAGGTGGAAAATGCGGAGAGTGATGATGTCGTCGTCATGTCAGATTCACCTCCTCCCAAATCCACGGACCCTGAACCCGACCAGCAAGGACAGGTCGTGAATTCAGCAAATGGCCCTTCTAAAACTACGGCCAATAATCAACGAGACGGAGCATCGGATCCACCACCTAACACCAGCTCCGAACCCGTCGACGACGATGCGGAGCCATCACTCTTGCAAGATGACTCTGGTGGTCTCGAATTGTTCCCTGGCGCTCCCTGTGTCACCGTGGCCATGCGGTGCAAACGGCAGAATGATTCGTCACCGATGTACCTCAACCGTTACGGGCCTCGTCGATGTGGCTGGTTCGTCTGGAGCACGGAACTAAAAGGCTCGGTGGACGTTGACAAGCTTCAGGATGTTGCCTACAATTACGAGCGCGTCTTGGACTATCCGAGGAGAAAGGGCGAGCCTCGCATAGGGGCTAGCAGTGTCCAGGGCATTATCAATATTGTCTGGGATTGTCAAGGTTTCGAGGATGACCCGTGGCGAGCTGCCGAACTCTTGAACCCCAAGAAAGTCAAACAGGCCGACACTCTGAACACTCCAAAGGCTCGCCAAGACTGGTTGAAACATCCTGGAAACAAGCTGGACAGGTATCCGGCGACGCACGTCGAAGTGAAATTCAATCACGCCGTGGATCTATTTCCAGAGGAGAAAGGTCCGATTACCACTCGATGGGAATTGGGCTCTCAATACAAGGCGCTCTATCGCCGTAGCGGCCAAATAGAGACCGAGAACAAAGTGTACAACTCAGCTCTTACTCAAGCACGTCGATTTCTTGAGTGGTATCGACAACAGCGCCCTGAAAACTTCGACGAAAACGGAGGATTTATGAGGTCGGAAAGCCGGGAGCCCACCGTGCAGCCATTTGTGGACAAGTCTGCCACTCCTGATCCGGAGACTTCGTCGAAGACCCCTCCTCCAAGCGGAACCGATCAGACCCGAGAGGTAGGCCCACTCCCGCAACCCAAAAAGCCCGGTCCGGGACCAGGTTCAAACAAGCCGGGCCGGGACCTGGTAGAGAGGTCGGCAAGAAATGCTTTCAGAATGAGCACAGGCAAGACAGAAGAGACAATGGATGATGAAGACCGATTGACTCTTGACATGTTCATGTCTCTTCAACTTCAAAAGCATGGGTACGCGTGAACCGTAGCCTCATTAGCAGTGGAGCAACAGGGGTACTTCGCGCTTTTGCATTACGAGAAGGTGGTCGATCGACTCAATAGTGGAATCTTCACTACGCACGGAGCTGGACCGAGAGCCTGATCACCAAGGAGCGCTAGCTGTTTTCACAGCCACATCATTACATGCTTAGACAGATTGTTGTCCTATATAGATTCTAGGTAGATGTAAATGTCCCTCCGCGGGCGGAGACGAATTTGCGCTCATGTTCGACCTCATCCCCGCAGACCCGCTGAATAAGTAGCGCTCACGCCTCAAGTGATGGAACGCAAAACTTCGGTTTTCATGCACACGCCTTAGCCGTGCCAGCCATTAAGGCTTTGACATACTTAGGCATTGTATAGGTGCCTCGTTGTATAACTGCGTTCAAGGAATGCAATACCCCATCATACGCCGATTAACACTCTTGCCGTCTCCGAGGTTGTTAATAAGCCGAATTCGAAGCACATCAGATTCCATTGACGCATCCTCTTCAGAATTAGTGTTGGCCGAAATAATACTAACCGTGGTTGGTTAGCTTAGCGTCCTTCCTTACATGATATTAGTAAGCACATAGTGCCGAGGCCAAATAGAGTCGTACCTGTGTATACAATCAGGCCCATGTCCAGGAAACGCAACGTATAAGGCAATAACAAGTTATAGAGAGGTCAGGAGGCCTGTGTTGCGAGGCACCATATTGTCATGTCATTTTTGGTCTATGCTAATGTAGCACCGGAGAGACCGATATATTTAAAACTGTTTCCCTACAGAGGATTGCAAAACCGGTTTCCGCCCATAGAAATATGTTTGGAAGATTCTCCAGCCCGGAGTGGAGCTACTTCGCCATATATAGTTAAGCGTCACCGTAAGACTTGCCAATCATGCTTGCGTAAGATTATGGGAATTACAAGCTATGACAGCACTTAAATGACGGCGTCGACTGCATTTGACAGCGAGGTTGTTGGTAGAGTTGAGATGAGAGCCAAATTAGGAACGCTGTAAGCGGCCACTGGCCCTTTTAAGGCATTTCATGTGACCTTTATGTATTATCACTATGTACAGCACCACTCACAAAGCTACATCGTCTTTCTGCACATCCGTCTCTTTGAGGGCACTGAGAATGAACCATGTTTGCTCTTCTGGTTGCTACCGGCTCAGATAATTTCAGTACCAATTAGTCCAGTAATGCCATGAGTAGAAGCCTCTCTGAGCCAAGACGGGGGATTTCTGTTGACAACCTAAGTACCTCAATGCAATTAAGTACCTCTATGTGATTTCTCAACTGTACTAAGATACCAACAATGCTAACGGTGCTACCATACTGACAGTATTTCAGGATTGCTAGGATCTCCATCGGTACTGGCTGGCCAGCCGCACTACTCTCTTCAACGGCATTGACTATTCCAAGATACGCCAGTGGCTATTCCAGGAGCCCTGTCGCCGCAGGTACAGTTGCCAGAATAGGACACTTTGCGCATAAACAGAGACTTTCATTCATTCGATTTGCGCTTTATTACAGTACCATTCAATACTCAGAATTCCAACAATTTCAAACATCGGGACCAGACATATGAGGTTACATGAATTAGAGTTACATCAATCGAAGTGTTCTCTTTTCCCACTTGCTTTGAGACCATTCATCAGTTTCCATTGCCTTTTGACGAGCTTCCAACCTAGATTTACCGTGTGGTGTGGAACTCCTCCGTCCCTCCCGCTCTATAGGATGCAACACATCGGAAGTTGGTACTTTGATAGAGTTGTAGGATGTCGGCATGAACTCGCAGAGATTATAGTGTGCGAGACTGATAAGGCCAATGCGCTTGTAGTATTTGCCGTGCTTCTCGTCTTCATGCTCTGTGAGAAGGAGTGCCCAGACCAGACGGTCTTGAAAGTATTCTTTCTCAAGCTGCAGCACTACAAATCGTTGGCTGAAGGGGGGTTCGGCGTTGCCATGACAATCGTGAGTAATGCCCGGTTGGGCGAATGTGAGCTTTGATAAGAGATCTGCGAGTAGAGCCTCCTTGTCCTGGTCGATGATGACTTGCGAAACTAAATCAGTGGTGACGGTGCTCATGTCATCTTCAACTTGCAAATCTGACCAAGAAATATCGACATCGACATCGAGATCCAACCCATCTTGTATGATATGTTCCTCCGTTTCCCTCATCTCTATTTCTTCAGTAGCACTTACCCACGAATAGATGTAGCGGCAGTAACCCTCTACTTCAATATATGAACCTTCGTTCAATCTGAGGTAGTTGTCATTAGCCTGAGACACCATGTTAAATCCAACTAGACGTGGCTTATAGATGGACACCCAGTGACTATACTCATGTAACAGCTGTTCCACAGGATGTGATCGATGTGGTGGGTTTCCGACGGCTTGCGGAAAGTCTATCTGGCCTTCTGCAGCCGCCCAGCTCCACGACGGTGCTCGGTAAGGAGCTGAAGCCGTATCTCGAACGTTCTTCTGGTCAGAGACTTGGCCTTGCGTCTCTTTACCTGTCAGGGACGCTAGAAGGTTCCCTCTTGTCGGGCTAGGCTTTCCATTGGAAAAGCGATACCAACACAACTGGTGGAACAAGTCTTGTTCCCAAAGACCAGCAAGATACCTTCCGAATCTAGGCTTTTGAATCAACCGGGCAAGACCAGCAATCGCGGACAGTCTGTCCGATACATATGTTAGAGATCTTTTCGTGTACTCGTGCAATATTTCGCACCACTCTTGCGTAATAGAACTTGTAGGTTCTTGCCACGCAGCGGAACCAGGAAATTGTTGACGTTTGTTGCTGTATAGTAGGGCTTCTTCCAGGACAAAACTCAATGTCAGTCTAGAAAGACCTCGTTCTCTGTAGTTCTGAGACCCGTCTTGCAGATACCCTTCTGACATTAACCCATGACCGCACTCCCACACGACTTCTTTTGAAAGAAAATGTAACGTCCTCGGTGCGATGAATCGTTCTTGGAATGTCCAAGCTCTTGAATTGATTGGCGAAGACAGGAGTTCTTCTTCAGAAGACCAATATTCTCGCAAACGGAACTGCTGATACGTGCCCATCGGCAGCGAGTAAATTCCATCTCTATTGTGCAGAAATCCATCATTACAAGTCTGAGCTGAATCAGCAGATAACATGATTGTTGAGTCATAGTAGTATTGGGCCATCTGACTAGCTTCTCGATTCCAATCATCGCCGTCGTCCTGCACGATACATAAGGCATCAATCCAGATGTACTCGTAACCCAGGAGTCTAATGCATCGTATCGCATCTTTGAAATTTCGGGCCAAGTCATCTTCATTGATTTCGTTCATATGTGCGGAGAGATTCGACTTCGTTGTCATAAGTTCCGGACCTTGCGGTCCCCACGGATGGCTCAAGATGGCATAATACGCGAAGTAGCTGCCTCCTGCACAATGGAGGCGAATCTTTCCGTCGGGCGCTACATGAACGACTCTTGTCGGAAGGCGGCTTGGTGAGATTGCTTTGCAGTAGTCGTGCTGCTCGGAACAGATGGCAGCCCAATCTTTCATTATCTGTACTGTTGCGATTGAGCAAGGATCTCCATTGACGACTCTGGGACGATGGGAGTCAAATTCACCAATAGGGCGGTGTTCCCAGTCACTCTTTGAAGGAGTTGCGGATTCCACATCTCTTCCAAACACTTTGCAGATATCCAGGTGGATGAAGCTCGGCGAAAATAGGTCACTGCTTTCGATGGTCAAGCTGACCGGATTGTTGCGTCCGAGCAATTCGAAACTAGTAGGTTCTCCTGTTCTTGATTTAGCTCGAAGTGATCCTTGTGCGATCGCAGACAGAAATTTGCACAATGGGCAAATGTCACTATCGCATAGAATTCCCCGTAGTTTCGGTGATGGAGCTTTCCACCTGTTCTCGGGATTGCAAATTTCCTCTATGCGGCTTGAAAACTCCGTACATTTTGAACAGAACCCCAAGGCTATCGTCATGTTTTCAGAAAGCGAGGTGGAGAGTTGTCAATTCGCTGCCATCTTTAGAGCTCTGGAGCAAGTCATAATGAAGTCTAGAAACGAAGGATCTTTGGAAGGTTGCCTAGCACGTGACCAGGGCTTCAGCCAATGCAGGGATTCTCTCAGCCATGTCTCGTGTGAGCCTTCTGCCCGAAGATATGAAAAAAAAAGTGGGTATCCAAAGGAGCCCAACAAGTAGACTTTCTCTTTACTGTACACAGATGTTGATATAGCGGGATTTATGTTTTGGGGCTGCTCTACTTACGATGAAATGGGTCTTTATCACTCTTGGAAGCAAGAAACTGCGCAGGGAAAAAGATCGCCGAAAACGTATAAATCAGCTAAATGAAGAGAAAGTTAGAACTGAAGAAAGGACTCCAGTGGGAAATGAAACGGCCTGATGATGACTTAGTACTGTAGTAGAGTCGTACACCTGTGAAAGCGGATGTACCGCAAAACCTTTGCTGAGTGTCAGACAGCGATAAATAACTTACCACTGAGTAAAGTGCATGAAATGTAAAATCACGTGCTCTGACATTATTGGCTATCGGGAGACACTGCGCTAGGCCGCTCAAGGAAAACTGCGGGCCTCGATGACCCACCGAAATCCAAAGAAAAGAAAAGAGTGTTCTACTGAGAGGAAACCGGTTTTGCAAATCACTATACAGGAAGACTTGCACTGTATAGTGTTTGAGAAGCGAAGCAAACACCGCATATCTGAGTGTGTTACTGTAAGGGTGGAGATACTGTGAAGAGTGCGTCAATTCCAGACGCGTCTAATACAAGCCTACGTAAAGTGAGGCGGAGAGGCGGTGGAGTATTCCGCCTCACTTTCCTGCGAAAATGGTGGTACAATATCGCTGGTCCCAACTGTGGAATTCGACAGTCCGAAGACAATAGAGGAACCACTAGTCACTGTCTCTATAAGAGGTTCTATAGTACGGCAATATAGCATACTCTGATCGTGAGTCTATATGAGGATTCCTCCAAAAGTAACAGCTGTTAGCACGCCCTCACGGTATGTATTAGGATATGTCTCGCTGGCAGAGTCTCCGGCTATCATACGGGTCTTGTCGTCGGTTTGCCTGGAACATTTATGCTAAGCACCTGAAAAGTGCCGGATTCTAGACGAGTTACAAATCAACGGAAGACCAGTCCTAGGATCTCGGAACGGCTGGGACAGGTTCGTTGTTCGCTGCTACTACCATGAATTGGTTCCAAAACTTGCCTGACGAAGTCGTTTACAGCATTTTGGGAAGGGTAAGTGAGATCACTAGGTGAGAGCAATATTTTACGACTTAGACTTTATAGTTACTTCATACCGACCTCCTTCGATCCTTGCTTGTCTGTCGCAGATTCTACGATATAGGGACGCCGCTCCTCGACCACAATCTCACGTACCCTATCTCACCTTCTTGTGCTCGTTGCCACGATTTGTCAACTTCTACCACGTCCGGCGAAAAACAGCGTTTGAAAGTAATACAAGTCCTGTTGGATCCCTGTCGAGCCGCGCGTATCGTCAACTTCACCGTGACGGATATAGACAGATTCTGCCGATGCCACTACCTGGATCCGGAACAACAATGTCATCGTGGAATTTTCAATCAGATTTCTATCGAAATCCTTACTTCGCTGATTGGCAAGGCCAAAAATATATATCAACTTCGGTATGTGATTCAATGGTATTGGAAAAGACGCTGTAGCTTAGCATTCAACAGTTTAGACATTCATAACTCTGTGGCCTATCACGAGGCTTTACTACATATGTTGTCACCGGTAACCCTAACGGTGAATTTGATTTCGAGATTGCCAGAGAGGACTTGTGTGCGACTGCAGTATCTTTCCATGGATCTCTCCCTGTGGCGCCATGTTGAAACCCTACCAGTCATGCCACAGCTTCTCCATCTAGAAATTCGTCTGACAGGACAGAGAGCGCCAAGTGTAGCATCATCGGATGCACTTATTGATTTCGAGCGGCATCCCAGACTGACACAGCTCCACGTTGAGGGTGACGCATGGAGCGGTATTTCAGAAATATTTACGGGGCGGACACAGACAGTGACCGTCTGCACCTTAAAGGGACCAATCGTGGTAACTACGAGACTCAGAATATTCTTCGATCGATTAGCAGTAGGGCTGCGATACCTCTTCTGCCATGGCGCGCATCTGATCGGGAAGCTCGACACACATTTCCCGAGGCTCCGCCATCTTTCCTTGCACAACGTTATGGCCTCTAGTCGGATATTTCCGTTTGTACATTGCGAAAATCTGACATCCCTTGCTCTAGAAAGTGAAGATATCTCCACTTCCACGGGACCCGGCAACCTAAATGGCCTACTACAAGACGCCCTTCGATACACCTCTGGAACCCTCGAAGGTCTCACACTGCGGTCAGGATCTTTTGGATTGTTGGAACCACTATCGATCCATGCGATGCTCCGCAGCTACCACTTGCGGTACCTACTTTTGGACGGCGCCATCTTTGTGGACGGTCGAGATTGGATAATACTATCCAAAGGGTTAGAACTTCACGTCGTCGTCAGGACACCTCCATGGAATCCTGTCCCGGTGAGTTGGGCAGACCCTTGACCTTAATCTTTGTTCTGAAGTTCTCTCCTTAGGATTCGGCTCAGCTGCTAGCCAAGCAACCAATTCCACACATGCTAGGAGATCGAAGGGGTCTATATCAACTTCGTCCCAAGGAGGCGGCATTACGGCCACAGGCATGTGCCTGCGGCCTACTCAACCGCGGTTTCATGTTCGCAAACTTGCAATTAGAGAGTCTGTGCTTCAACATCTTTCTGCGATTTATTGCAGACGGTAGGCAGAAATGGTGCTCCCATACGAATTTTTTCAACGAGAAAGAAATAGGAATCGCTAGCGGACTCTCTATAGATGAAGCGATCATCTCCACAATGCCACTCTCGGGATTGGATACAGGAATTTCACTGATATGGCCTGCCAGAAAAGTTGGTTCATGATTGCGTGAGGACCTACTTTTCTCGCCATTGATAGCATTGAATTCAAGCTATTGATCGTTGTGCAAAATTGGCTTGGGTCAACTTCTGCGGAACTTTGCCGGGAAAAGGAGGGACTTCGCTGGCAACAGCAATGCTTTGTTGGTTGTCTGACAGGAATTGTCCGCGTTGAGTTGTGAATGCCCCCGCCCCCAAAAAACCCGAAGACGCGGATGACTTAGATGAGGGCTAATGCTTCGGCCTAAACGCCGGCATGAATCACGTCGTCCATTCTTGTTCGTGGGCCTTCGATACATTTGTCAGGGAAAAGCAGACTCCCAGCCTCGAGAAATCATGGGTCCCGAGATTTCCGCAAATGAATTGACCCTAACCCTCTAGATGCCTTCACATTATACATTAGGCAATCAGGTATAGATTACTTATTGACGAAGCTCCGGGTGCTGACCGCAAAGATAGTCTAACAATTCAAGAATCTTGTTGAGAAAAAGAGAAAAGGAGAAAAAGAAAAAAAAGAAAAAAAGAAAGAAAAACAAAAGGAAAATACTGAGTGACGGGTGAGACTACATAAAGGAGAAAAAAGCAGACTATATTCAGACTACTGTAGCCGCCAGACCCTACGATGATCTATCTCATCCTCCATATATTACTATCTGGTTGACATACATCGCTCTTTTAGTTTAGTACGCAGTCTCATTCTTCTTGCATTTCTGTGCGTGTTAGGCTCAGAGGTTCGCTTACGATAATTGTTTTATAGGACGGAAATTTCGTGTGTGCCACATTTTTAAACTCCTGATAAGTCTGTGGGCACCACGACCCAACCAAGCTGACCATGTTTCCCGCTACGCAATCGAACATCAAACACAATGACAAAATAAACTGGCAGAATGTGAAATATGCATGCAGCGTGTGAAAAGATAGCATTTGGGAAGCCACATGGCTCGTCTTGTCGCCTCTGCACTGCTTGCTTCAGATCAAAACTCGGTTCGATCTCCAGAGGTCGTGGTTTCACTTGTGCTTGAACCGCTCAATCCCTTGAAATCGTTACGTTAGTTACAGATCTCCAATGCTGTCAGGTCCAAATGTCCCTACCTCGTAGGAAGAATCCGTTGCCTGGCCTGTCGACTCGGTTCGCAGTGGAACGCTCGAGGAACAAGCTTCCAATTTCCCTTCTGATTTCTTAACACGATCCTTCTCTGTGTCTTCCATGTATCCACGAAGCCGCCGGAGCACCTCATCTGCAAACTCCGAAGCCTCACAATCCGGATCGAGCCTTTCTTTGAACAAAGTGGTCGCGAAGGCAAGGGCCTTTATTTTCTGTCTCATCTCTCGATTCTCCGCCCTAAGAGACTTCATCTGATTCTTTTGCAGATAGAGACTGTGGAGTGCGGCGTCAAGTTTTTTGGACAGAATGTCTTTGTCCTTTTGGACAGTCGAGTTATGAATTTGGAGGAATTGAACTCTCTTCCATACTTCTTGCTTCTCATTAAGAGTGCAAACCAGTTGATGGCTTAAGCCGATAACGATTTTGTCGAGTTGGTAGTGAAACGTCGCCATTTGGTCGGATCAATATAGAATATACTCTCTGTACCAGGTCGTACCAATTACTTCGCACCCTGGGTATAGCCCAGCGCGAGCCCCTTTAATAGCAACTCAACCACGTAAGTGAGTGGTTACAGATTACACACCTTAGCATGCCTAAGCTGGCAAATAAATCCTACACCCTCCATCCTTATGGAACCCTGGTCAAACCCAGATGAAACTCCCGGCCCAGTCATGGTTATGCAAAAATCAAATATCCTATATTTCACGAGGATACCTTTCTGACCTGTGTATTCTCACGGGCAGTGCCGTAGTGCGGTATCTTTAATGGCCCCTAGCACGCTCAATCCTGTGCTGGAAATCCTCCACCGATGATGTCTGCTTCACGTTCTTTGCCGATCAATGATCGTGCCCAAAAAGCGCAACATTACTCCACCGCCACGTTTCTCTCTTCTCTCTGGACTTCGACTGCAGCATTTGTGGCCGCTGGTGTCCTCTTTTTAACATTAGCCAGGTTCCAGGGTTTTCGACTTTTATTGTTCGTTTTTTCCTTGCTCGGCATGCTCGAGTCGTACTCACATACATTCCGTGTTAGACAGCCGCGATTTTACTCGCACCTCAATCTCCAGGCGACACCTTTACCATGCAATCCACTACAACTCATCTGTCGAATCCTTTCAACCTCGGATGAGGTGATCTGGCACGATTGTGGAGCCGAGGCTCTCTTCTTCGTTCACTACCTCCGATTTTTGTTCCACTTATTTGCTTCATTGGCGGTAGTGTTCATACCGACGATCGGCGTATGGAATTACTTCTCTAGTCGATCCGCAGGTGCTACTGATTTCGTGACAAGGATGAGTTGGTCCGGGTTCTCACCGACGGGCGCCGTTGGGTTCTATTGGTTCTATGCCTTGGCTGTGCCCTGTTTTGCAACTTATCTTCTCCTCATGGCATCTTGGGAGCTTGAAAAGGCAGCCCGTCTATTGCGAGATCCGCCCATTCAGGATGGGTCAACTGGAGTACAGTCAAACGCTTTTTGGGTTCTGATAACGCAACTGCCTACCAATTTGCAAGACGAGGCCGCAATTCGTGCCTGCTACCGTGAATGGGCAGCACACATCACCTTCATCGGATTTGTTCCCGACTGTGCCTCAGCAGAGAAGCTGTCGATAAAACGGCAAACTCTTCTTCGAACGATCGAACGACAGGAGACGAACTTCATTTCTGAAATGGTCCGGCTGCATCGAAGTGAAACTGAGGAGGAATGTGCACAGCAATTGGCGGCAGCTTTATCTCAAAGACATAACAAGCCCACCCTTTGTAAGGGTAAGGTCGGAAAATACGTCAGATGGAACTTACTATCGTGGTTACCCTATGACTTACAACCAGTCAGTTCGCTTTACCTGAGTCTAATTCGGCTGAACGCTCGACTTCGGCAGGAATTGGCTCGGATTAAGAACGAACAGTCAACCGCTGCCCTCGTAGCTTTAGACCAAGATCATCTTGCCCGTGCCTTAGCCTATCACCACCCTTCCAGTACAATATCAGCTTTGAGAATGCGATATCTCGGGGCCACGACGACTCACGTGATACCATCCAACCTTCGAGGGGCAAACTTAGCGGATCAGACGAGGCGCGAGACTATTAACCTCTTGGCCACCATTCTGGTTGTCCTGTGGACTATCCCAGTCGGAGCCAGTGGTGTCTTGTCTCAAGTGAGCTCTGCTGTTTCTTTGTGGCAGGGAGAAGATAGCTTTTCGCTGCCTCCTTGGCTCGTTGGCATCCTCCAAGGCGTCATGCCACAGTTGGTGACGTCCTTCTTAATGTCCGCATTTCTCTGGATCCTCCGGCTTCTGGTGTCTGGGAAAAGATATGTTACCGTGACGGAAATACAGGCATCCACGCAAAAATTTTACTTCTGGTTCCTTTTTACCCAGTTGTTCTTAACCACCTCTTTGTCCTCCGGTCTTATCCCGGCGCTGGTGGCGGTTGCTGACGACGGGATCACAACACTCCCACGAATTCTCGCAAGGAATTTGCCTCTTGCGAGCACCTACTTCATCTCTTACAACATTATTGCAGCAATTACACTTACCACGGCGAAGTTGATGCGTTTCCGTGCAGTGCTCCAACTTTACGTCTGGAGAAAGGATTCCTGCGCCCCGAGAGACCAAATCGACCAACTATATCGCTTGCACGACTCTCTTTCGTGGGGAGAGCTGTATCCGCATTTGGCAGTGATAGCCAACATCGGTCTGTACAAATTCAAACCGTGCAGATGATTTTACTAACACATAGATAGGGCTGACATATGCGCTCTTGGCCCCTTTGATATTGGCAACCTCAGCCTTGGGCTTCGGCCTTTTGCTTTTTAGCTTTCGATATGTCCTTCTTTACACTGCTCGCATTCCCGTAGACAGTGATGGTGCACTGTACTTCGAGGCGATGTTCGATTTGATTTGGGGCTTACTAGTCTCAGAAGCGTGCATCCTTGGACTTTTCATCCTTAAGATCCAGTCTGCGCGGCTGGCTCACGATCTAGGTCAAATTACAGTGATTGGGCTCACACTGTTCTGTACAGTGCGACATGTCGCTGCGCTAAGGCGATCATACCAGCCAATCACACAATCCATTCGGAGTAATCGTCGTGGTTCGACAGTGAAAGAGAAATTTCGGCCACAGCGTCAGCTTTTCAAGAAGTATGGCTCCATTCAAAGCATCGAACCAGTCATTTGGTTGCCAAAGGACCATCTAGGGGTCAGCCAGGCGGTTGTGAACAGCATTCAGGAGAATTACTTGACCACTGCTCGTGGTGACAGTCCTTCTGTGATGCACGGCGGCGCCTCGGTGACAACGCAGGGCCGCGTCATTCTTCAGGACGATGCAAGCAAAGTTGTTGAGAAACTTGAGCGATACTGCACGTGATTCTGGTAGTTCCACCAGTCCTTTAAGGGAATAGTCTAGCAAAGCTGTTATTCTTCCAAGGTTTCGTTATATGGCTCGTTCATTCAGACGTTCGTGTCATCTCGTAGCACCGGTGGCCGATCTCGCTTTCTGTACTCTCAATCTGCAGGACAATGATTCTCTGCTCTCCCTCAGTCGCGAAATTTTGCGTCACAATCAGTTCCAGAGGCTGAGCAACTGAGTATTGTCTTATCTCAGATCCTACCAAAGGTCGCTCATACCAGTTTCGTGGAATCTTAGGACACGCTACAGCGACACTACCAATATGTCTTGCAGCCCAGAGAAACGGTTCCCAGCAGGATCAAATTGGCCGGCAAAGAAGCCAAGCTCCGAAGTCACGCAGCCTAAAAAGAAAACCCGGAAACTTGAGCGAGGTTGTTGTTGATTGACTGTGAGTTTAGAGCCAGCTTGCGGCCTCCATATCCTTCGTAGGCGAAGCGGACCAGCGCCAGCACAGAACGTCAACCTGTCGAGCGACCACCTCTGACTAAACGGCACAGCTTGCAGCGGTATGGTCCAGCTTCTACTTAGAACCCATCTTTCTATATACAAATATTTCTTCTCGGCCCTTTTGGGCTGGGGGGTTATCCGGTTTTACACCGCTTAGTATCCTTCCGCGGCGGACCAAATAGTTGTCGTTTTAGTCGGCTCTGGCAACACGGCGAAGTGTTTGGCCATTGCATCCAGTGATCGTTTTTTGACTGTCTCTCAACAAACCATTCCATAGGTTTGGGGAAACTGGCTAGAAAATTACGCTTGTCGTGTCCAAGCTCCAAAGTCATGGCTACCGGGTGGCCCAGCTGCGGGACTTCGAACACCACTTCCCTTCTGAAATACCCACATCTTCTGCAAACACAACTGTCATCAGCCATTCGAATGAGAATCTTGTTCTCTAGTACAATTTGGGGAGACGCGCAATATCGACGGACAGCGTTCAGAAGAGAACGGGAGTCCTGAAATCGGCACAGCACAGTCCCCCGACAGACATAGTAGTCGCACACACGTTCGGGCTTTGAGTGTAGCTCGAAGAAGAACCGGGAAGCCCATAATTTCCGCTTCTCTTCATCCAAGTCAAGAGGGCTGTGAGTAGCTATTTGTATCAGTCGAGGGATCTGGGATGTATCATCCAACTCCGGCAACTCGTCGGCGAATTCAAGGGTGAGACGGTGGAACCGTTCTCTTACATCGTCGTGGAGACGATTTGAAAGAGCCGCCCAGCTGTTATCGGCGTCCAAAGATGGCGAGGATAAAAATGCCCGTAGAATTCGGGGGACAAACCCATCAAGCCATATTCCACGGTACAGTTCTGAGTCATGATCCAAGGGGCTATGGTGTCCAGTGCCCACAGAGAGAACAAAGTGTGGCCAAACGTACTCAGGCCAGATACAACCGAGTTCCCATAAGGCTTTCTCGGTCGGGTTGTTGTCTGTAATTCCACCATCCTGCAATGCCCCAAAATGCTTGATTACCTTGGGACGAAAATAGCTATCCGCACTTTAGCTCGACCCTTCACAAAATCTGCAGCTGACACTGATTACCTCGGTGCAGCAGCTGCACATCGTGCGCTAGCAAAAAAAAATTAGTAGCGTTTTGGGGTTGCCGGGGTTTTCACTTGCTCCGGAACTACTGACATCTCCCACAAGTGAGGTTCTCCAGAAGGATCCGGGGGCCGCAAAATAGCGTAACCTGAGAAATGTGGTCAGAAGAGAAAATATTACAGACGTAACGTACCTTTTCCCTGTCTATCTCGCGCCACTCCATTGTAATTCGTAAAAAGCCGAAGCTGGGAGCTTGACACAGTGCTCGCCGTTACCGCAACCTTGATGCCTGATTGATGTTGACTTGCAAAATCAAATAAGCGTTGGCGAACACCGAATGCCTCCTGGACCACATCTTCCAGAGTCCCAGAATCATACTTGTTATCACTAACCCACCAAACCAGCCAGTGAATGAGTCTTTGAAATATGGGCATGAAACCATACGCTCTTTTGGGAAAGATCCGATTTGATAAGGCTTCGAAACGCTTAATGCTCGAATCAAGAGAAGATTGGCAGACTACGTGATCCAACACGATGAGTCCTCCTAACACAGTCAGATTGAAAACGTAAAGTTCCGTCATCTGCACCTACCCGCACTAGTTCCAATAAAGTAATCGAAGTACTCTCGGATGTGATGACCAGTGTCAAGGGCAGCTTGCAATCGCTTCAGAAGCACCAAAGCGACCAACCCCCGCACGCCGCCACCATCGATGGCTGCGATGTTAGGTTCCACGGTTGGAGGCATCTTTGAAAAGACGCTTAGGGCATCGACCCCGCAGAACTCACAGACCCCCACGCGGTAGGTGTATGCCCTTGTGCACCGTGGGTAGTATTCTTGGATACATTCTTCGCACAGACTATGCCCGCAAGGGAGCATCCGTTCCGATGGCCTTGCCATACATAAAAAACACTTGGTCGTCGACCGAAGGAGTCTCCACTGTGGTCGGTGCTGCCTCAAGATCCTTTTTCGCAGTACGACAGCAGAAGTTCTGGGATTAAGCGATGTGAATAATTGTAAAAACCGAACTCGGATGGCGTTGGGGCCACCATATGCGGGGGGAAACTCATATGTGCTCAAATGGTGATGAAAGAACACGTCATATACGAGTGCTGGAGGGAAAACTGTAATCGATCAATATTGCACCAAATGCGATCGACGGCTTTGGTGCACTCACAATGTCTCTGTGGAGTATACGCTTGCGCTAGAAGTGCTGATGCGATGAAATCCGAGACGAGTTCCTGCTGCGGACTCAGCTCGGCCACTGCGGTGAAAAAGTCATATAAATGATGGCTGACGTTAGACAGGGAAGGGACAGTGCCGAACGAGCACAAGAACATATCGACGGTTTTCCTAGGGTTGCGTGTGAAATTCTGAATGGCGCGAGAAAATGCTCCTGCGACGTGTTGTGCGCTGAGTAAAAGATGACGACTCTGACGATCACGGCGGATATCGTCCAGAATGCCTTTCAGACGAGCCTGAAGGAATTGAGCCGCTGGGTCGCTCGGGCGTGCTGAGGTCTCAGAGGTCAGGATGACCAGTGAATCAAAGAGCAAGTTGAATCTGGGATGGCATTCCGTTTGTACGAGAGCATTCACATCATCCAGGTCCGTAGTCACAACAACCAGTTGTGGATAATCTCGAGTATCTGTTTCGACGCTCTGTAATTCAAGCCGAAACCAGTTCTCCAAGTACTGAGCACAGGCCTTGTTTCCTCCTAGGTCATCCGCAAACACGCACACTATCTGCGCAAACGGGAAGATAAGGTTTATATGGACGTATGAGATCATACTCATCCAGCTCACGCTGGGGCAACCGTCCATTCGATGGATATGGTGTCGTTTTCGTTCATGACAACCACTCCAGCTCTCTTCCAAGTTCGACCGGCCGATATTGATCGTGCAGTCGGCGAAGATGATGGGATAAGCGGAGTCGGTGGTATCGGACTCGACATGAAGGTTGGCAATCTCGTGAGGTCTTCGTCGAGAAGGATTGTTCTGAGCGTACAACCCTTTTAAGGCAGCGGACTTGGACTTTTTCCCTAGGAAAAATAAAATTGATGGAAATTGCCGTTGGGGGTCGGGAAGATCTCTTATGATTGATTTCAGGCGTTCTGAATCTAACAACGACCATTCCGGTGCTACGCCGTCGAGATCGAGCCACTGCACATGCGGACAAAGAGGCATGCTTTTCCCCACTGAAACTGCTTGGGTCACGAATTAGATCCCAAAAGTAGGGGCAAATAAAGAAAAGAAGAAAGGAAGGAAGAAAGAAAGCAAAAATGATACCCATAGGGACTTCATGTGGTAGTGATACTGGGACACTTAATCTGGTGCAATCTTCAACAATACTTAGCCACTACTCCTCGAGGAGAGGATGCGGCTTACCTCTGGACCTTATAGTATCCATTTTCTATAAAGATGATATAGTTTGTTTCTGGCGAAGATTATTTCAGGCGATACAGCCGATTCACTTCTCATGAGTCTTACTTAGGCGATGCAGACCTTTATTTTGTGTTTTCGCCTACTTCTCGTGTGCTTCTTGCTATGGGCAACGTGATATGGGGCTCGTACGGGAAGAAGGGACGAGCCCCTCGCGAAAGCGGGGATGATCCAAGAAGGCGTAAGCTTATAATCCAGTCACTTGCACTACTCCTGTATTTGGATTTACTAATGCCTTTGACGATAAAAGTACAATAACTAAATAATCTGGTCGAGCTTCAAATTTACACTCCCAAGAAAAGTCTCCTCAATGTTACCAGAAAGAGTGACAACGGACTACTACACGAGCTTACATCAAAGCTGATTAACATCGTACACACGGGGTGCAGACTTTCCCTTCGACTCTAGAGTCCAACTGAATCTGGTTTGACAAGGATATATGGCAATTACTACATTATAACCTCCTATGGCGTCCATGATAAGAGTGTTGGGCGTGCATATGGCAGTTATTAGGCCTGTAAAATATGGCACACGCAAGAAGTGAAAAGAACCCATGGTAATATCCACCGGTCAATCGGTCAATTTGTCAATTTTGTCAATTTTGGGACCAGAGTTACGAAGACTATCTTGCGCGTACGCCTCAAACGTACGACCTCTGAGTTTGAATACAAGTATTTGTCTCTACCCAGAACCCATTAGGCGAACGAATCGGGTCACAAAGCAGAGTAGACTGCTGAATTTACGATGCGGAAATCTCGTCAACCGAGTGACGATTATATGCCTCTTCCAGCATGCAGGGGGGTTTCGTAGTGTACTGGCTTTTTAGTAGCCATGGCAACTTCCGTTCTAGCCACCTCGAGAACGATAGGTCGCATATCCGCTAAACCTGGGTCTTGCAAGGACGGAGGACGCCAACGTGATCGTTGCCTCAGGCCGATATAAACTGTGTGAGCGATTCTTCGTTGCGGAAGGAATTGCTATACTGTACCGAAGCTGGTCCGTAATGCAACCACCTATTGTATATGGAGCTGTAAGAAGAGCGGCAGATCTTACCACAAGATTCGGAGGGTCAGCGAATGGTTAGCGGAGAAAAGCCACCTATTGATATAAAACTCGACGTACCCTGTCATAGGCCATCATGCGGTCTTCTGTACTCGTCTCGAATGAGCAAATGTCTCAGAATCATCTTTCCCGCTGGATTGTTATAATATGCTTTCTTCTCAATGGGGCTACAGTGGCAGCGCTGTGCGTTGGCTGGAAACTTGAGGACATCGTCGTAGATCGCATCAAGTATCTACTTGGATGTTCCGCCGCGGCAACGGTTCTCTGCTTGGTGCAAGGTCTCGCAATTTGTGTCCGCACTCCCCAACGAAGCTCGAATCACATTTCGAAGATGGTAGCGGCTTGTACCATCCTTGAGACGGCGCTACTTTCCGCGTTTATCACTCTTCTGTACCTGGGACATTCGGCAAGGCAGTGCCTGCAGGCAAATGGATCTTCTCACTTCTGCACCATAGTGGTATGAATCATATCCTGTGCAGGCCGTCAGCAGTCATTAACTTGCGTTATACAGATTGTCGTGACGATCAGTACTGGCATATCTCTCTCGTTGGCTCTCTGTCAGGCTATCGCCGCCTGTTCTACGCGTAATAGCAACAATCATATCCAACAAGTGTTCACAGGACGTTGGTAAGCTCATAACGTTATCGGGTGGCAGGGGGAGACATCCGCGTCCTTTGCGAACAGGGGGGTTTGCCTCATGGAATCCGCATGATCCGCTGTTCACCTAGATTCTGATATAGAGGGTTTTCGGGATACAACGCCGTTGAGCTTCACAAAGCTTTTTCCAGGATTATCTCTCGCGAGGAGTGCTCCACGTTTGCTTGTTACTATTCCAGAATCACTTGTGTCGGACGAATGCAGGAAGGGTGTATCAGGAAAAGCCTTCTAAGATGTAGCGCATCTCCTTGCTTAAAGGCAACATTGAATTGTATCCCAGATTTTTGAGGCGCCGATAGCCAATCTGACTTTTGCATCAAACCCAAGCCGACTGGTCACGCTCAGCCTGATGCCTGCTCAACTCAATCCAATCCGCTTCGGCTTTCCTAATCACTTCATGGTAACGTTGCAAGTATCGGTCGATCTCTTGGGCCTGGTTAAACCACTCCTGATGCAGCTGCCCATCGCCATCATATGTGAAATAGTTAAGATACATTTGATGTGAAACAGAATGGAGTCCCTCCACCAGAGCCTGCGACGCTTCGTACTCAGCTCGGAAAAATCTCAGCTCCCTCTGAAGTGCTGAGATTAGTCGGACAAGGTCTACCATGCGTTGTTCACTTGCCGGCCGCCTGATGTGCTTAGCGGCTTGCATAGCTTCTGTCCGGAGTTCCAGAGCCGAGGTGGTCCCATTGTATGCATGAATAATCTTGTCAAAGGATTGGATTGCGGGTATTTGGTCTGGAGTGATTTCCTTCGGGCACTTTAGATTGCACGAAGCCGATTCGATGCTGCATGATGATCCCAGCTGCATATCTCACGCACGACCAAGATTGCAGAATTGCATGATAGTTGCCAACAGGTGCCGTTCCGCAGGGCTCTTGAAGCAATCTTATAGCACCAGTGATCGCCACAACAACCTATGGTATGTCGGTCCAAAGGAAGCCCTGAGAACAGGACCAAGACGCCATAAATGCACGCGAATCTTTCGTACATCGGGGAGCCCCTACCATCCCCATACTCGCAGTTCATTTAGCTTACCGGCTCTTGCAAGCTCCTCCGACTTCATACCGACTCGAAAATGACATTGCACCTACTTAGCTAATTCCCAAGTGCAATATGGCACTGACGACATTATTACATGACGGCGCAGGGACGACTCTCCGGCTAATCGCGATCCCTCGGTGAAGCTGCGTTTCCACATGAGGTTGACATAAGATCTCCCCTCACGGAACTGCCGTAACCTGATGTTCTCTCTACTCGGACGGAATTCTGCTCAGTTTTTCTCAATGCTCCGCTGCTCGACCTAAGTCATCCCATCTCCTAATGGAACAAAGGTCCATAGGTTTCCCCAGGGTTTGGGAAAACGCTTACTCTCCGGGTTGCTCTAGGGCATGCTATTTCTTTGTCCCACAACCTTCATCCCACCGCGCCGCGCATGGCCAGAATAGGTGGGTAAGGGCTTGAACATCTGTGCTAGGACTTTAAGTCAGATATGCCCAGTCAATGAGTGTTCAAGAGACGAGACCTATCCGTCCTCAGGGCATTTCTTGCTTCACGACGTATTGCTAAAAGAAAAAGTTTTGCAGTAAGCAAACCCTTTAGATTTTGATCACTACTGACCGAACAGCGCTCGCTGTCCTCGTACCTAGGCTAAGGCTTTTCAAACCTGAAACGGTGTACTTTTCACCAGAACCTCCTGCAACACATTCTGCTAGTGGACCAGGTCACGATAGCTCTTGAACAAGATAAACGATATCATGTCTCAATGCCTAGAAGACTTAAATGTCATCCTCAGCTGATAAATCTCGCGTTTTAGTATTTCCTTCATAGGTTTGTTGCTGCATGGCGGCTTCAAGATCAGTATATACTAGAAACAGATCTGCTAAACTCACGATGCTCAGATATAGGAGGCTCTGGCGCGAGAGCTCGCAATCTACCAATTTGGGCAGGCGGAATCCTTGATCTTTGGGCACGGACGGTCGGCACCCTGGGATATCCAGAATCAATCGAGAGCGGTACCGTCATCTCGGTTCGTTTTGTGTGAGCTAGCTCAGGCTGCTGAACCTGCGGAGATGAAGGATTTGGGAACGTCGACAAGGTTGGCGTCATAGGACGCAGGGGCCTCGAGGGCGTACTCGCGGCAGAGGCGTTCGGCGCCCTGCAAGGGGAGTCAACGTAGATTCTTGCCGTAAGTGATTTTCTCATTGGAAAACGTGCCTATTTAGGGGAGGAGCATTTGTCCCAGGTAGGGGAGGAAGAGGCTTATCCCAGATCTGATTTAGTGTTCCTGTTCCTGTCTGTCAGTTATATGTAGTTGATCGGGACCCAAACATAGTTACCATTTGTTGCCGGCAATGGTAATTGGTCCCATCGAATCGGTCGCGTCACGCGACTGTAAGAATTCCAGAGCCAGAGAAGGCCGACAAAAACGACGAGCATAGTACCGAGAACCAATGCAATAACGATCAGGTCGAATGTGTTGTTATTGTCGCCCATAAGGTTTGCGGTTGAGAAGAAAGTCACGAATCTGATCGTATCTTGTATATAACCACACTAAGCCTTCCTAAATACCACTCTCTTGGAGAGAGATCCATGGTATGTCGCTTTGGTGTTCGCTAATTTTCATGGCTCTATCTCCTACTTATTCTACAGTAAAACCTATACAGACCCAGTCGTCTCTGCTTCTCCATGTGCTTCTCCAGGTGAAAGCCAAGGCCAGAGTAAAGACTACCGCTCTGCTGATGTAAAAGACTTGTGTTTGAGTTAGCCTGTGACCACCAATCATAGTTACCAATAGCCGCTCAGGGTTCAGCCAGGCCGTTTTGGAGGGTTGGTGGCCTCCACCGAGCCATCTGCTGACGTAGTTCGGTGGTGTCGATTCCGTCACTCAGGCTGTGTTTTGCTGATAGCGTCCGGTCCAGCTGCTTGTTCATTGCGCGTCTCCTTGGAAACTAATTTTGTCTGTAACGCACCCGAACCGACAAAAATGCCTGCAAGGGACTGCTTGAATGTTCCACCATTGCATGTTCATTTACGGACGTGCTCCTCCACTGCAATGCACGGATGATGACCAACGCAAGGCTGCGGAGAACGCGGTTAAGGGAGCTATTTGAAGCTTGGCGGCGCGTATACAGCCAATCCCCGCCCGGGGGGGTGGGGGGGTACCATGAGCCGCTGCAGTCCATGTAGTGGTAGGATCGATAATCTTTGTTGGAACACAGTACGACCAAAAATAAACCAGGATAGTCAGGGTCTTGGTAACATACCAGACCGATGACCCTGGCCATGGATGACGAGGGAGTCTACAATGACCATTAATTCTTGAGGTCTGCCGGAATCGCATCGCCGGTTTCACTTGAGCACTACGAAACTCCCGGTATCCGTCGACCACTATTTTGCGAGGTTCACCAGAACCAGAAACCGATGACCCTAGTTAGGTCTGAAACGTCACCTAACATGGCGTTTTGCGAGCCACTGTTTTCCGAGGTCTCTCGACGCGAAAGCCGATGGATTCTGATGTAGGACAGGCTGAAACGGTCGACCACTGTATTACGAGGCCGGTCGGACATCAAAGCCCATAATTCTTGACATTTGACCAGTTTTCGGAGTTTCTTGAAACGATTTTGAGCCACGGCAAGAGTAAGTCGGCAAGGTTCTGTACCTCACTGTACTCTCGACACATCTTCTAGCATCTTGACGGTCTTCCTTTGGCGACCAAGGCCGAGATTGTCTATTGCCCTCCCCCACTTGAGGCTTCATCTATAGGTCTGTGGGCTCCAAATCTGAAGATGGCCATGACTTTGATTGGGGACGACCGCGCTTGCTATCACATGGTCGCCTCCTGCATAAACACGTATATTTACGTGTGAACGAAGCTGGGAACCCAAAAACTGATATCACTTGATTCAAGCGAAGCCTTTATTCAGGGCGACGAGCGTACATTCATTGAAAGGTTCGGATCAATATTGTCCATGAGACCTGCACATCCACCGGGAGATGCGTCATCAGCACCGTCAACCTCTCGAGAGAGTTCAGTCATGTCATTCTGTAGTGAATTAATCTTTTCCTGCCACCCGTTGATGCCCATTAAGACCAATCGTTTACAGCGTTCCAATTGTTCCTCCAAGCTCGACTTTTCTGCCTGCCCTTTTCGTAGCTCTGATCGAAGTTGTGAAATATCTAACCTTAGAGTACTGATCGCCTGGTCTTTCTTTGCGGCCAAATCTCGCCCCTCAGCCAGTTTACCAGACAGGTATTCCACCTTTCTGGAGAGGCTCGAGATTGTAGATGTAAAGCTCTGAGCCTCGAAAGGCTTTATCAATTTCAGTTCCGAATCACTATATTTGTGAAAGATACATTCCTCGTACCTTTAAAGTCGTAAGCTCACTGGTTTCGGGACATGAGGCTGCTTGAACACTCTGTGTATCCTGGGACAATTCAATAGGCGAGCTTTCTGTGACCGCCCAATTTGTAACTGGGTCACAGCGTGGGATCGCCTCAAATGAAACACCAACTTCATCTCGAATCATTCGTAGTGCAGCAAGGTTGTGTTTGCTGATCTGCTTTTGGAACAAAGATCTTCTGTGGGGCATAAATGCCCACTGATAGGCTTTATCGGGGCCCGGAACAAGGCGAACATCTGTCGGATCCACTTGAATTCCGAGTCGATCTCCTATTTTGCGGTATCAATAATGTTCAATGAAGCAATAGAGCTGCTCACGGATATGCCGTGACAAGAGACTACGGCAAACATCACGGCACTTCGCCCGTTCGTGATTTGCAGGTCTACCTGCGTCATGGGCCACAAGATCAGTGGTCATGATGTATCAGCGCAGAGATCATTATCCACGGAGAACAGGTAGATGAACTGGCGAATTTTAAAGATTCTATCTTACCACAAGACCAGGTGGTTATCTCTATTGGTATTACCACGTTCGTCCATTTCGCAAACATCTTCTGGTTGATACCATGGCATTTTGTAGTGCTCAATGCTGTGAGAAATCGTGTATGGCTTTCCAAAGGTGGAGTAGCAGACCATGAGAGACCATGGATGGTGAGACATGAATGCCGAGCAGCACCTTTGCGGTCATCAGACCTCAAAACAAGAGAGCAATTCTAACCGGCGAAACTTCAGTTTGCTAATTTTGCAACACAGTATGTACAGGACACGATCATCTCTGGCTTTCAAATTCTTTGATCGACACCGAATGCTACAGGACCAGAATTTTCCCACCATACGTGCCACGCAGTCCTACTGTCTCCATGTCCGCTATCATGCGACCGGGTGACTCTGGTCGGGCAAGATTGCGGCAGGTGAAGGGTTACGACAATCTCATCCGCCAGACGACGGATGCGCTCACGCTGAAACCGGTAAAGCCTGCCACGGAGGCCCTCTACCGCATCGCTCTACATGAGTGGGATCTGTATTGTCTCCAAAGACATAGAGCTCGCCACCACTTTCTAACGGACACTCAGGTTTGTGGAAGACTGCCGAGCCCGCCATCCCGAGATTAACCTTAGTCCTTTGAGCGCAAAGTCGGCGAAAGATTTCCTCCTCTTCTACACCACGGGCAGGAAGGGCCGTCTCGAAGATGTCGTCACCGATTCGTCTACGCTAACCTTCTGGAAGTGCTTCATGACAGCATGGCAGAGAAAGACGGGCGAACATTTCCCGAAACCCCTCCGAGATACAATTCAGAATGTGCGCTCGAGCCGAGATCTTGTGATATGATCAATTAATCGCAGCTGACTTTTTTCTTTTCTCTTCTCCTGTAGTTGATCTACGGAGGAGAGAACGGTGTTCTCGGCCTC